AAAACTCTGATAAACCAAAAAATTAAATTTTTTGTGATAACAGTAAATAAATTCGACAAAAAAATTAATGTTAAACAACATGAAAATTTTACCATTAGAAATATCTTTATATATTGTCTCGAAAACAAGAAAGAAATGTATGCAAAAAATCTAACATCTTCATTTAATCTAGATTATTTAAACAATAACAAAGATGATACATTAAAAAGAATAAATACAGGACAATTATATGCGATCTTTATCAGGTTTCATCATCTAATGAGTTTTCAACAAAAGATGCTACAATGGAGAAATCTGACATGCCAATAGAAGAAAAGGAACATACCGTCGAGCACTTTAAACATCTATTGTACAAAGAGAAAGATAGGCTTCAAAAACGTTGCGAGTATTGGATGGAAATACAATCGAGAAATAACATTACGGAAGATATTCGGTGTCATATTAATCAAGCAATAGGACAAACGACTTTGTTAATTAATAAGAAGTTTAAACGATTTGATAGTTTAATACTACTTTGCGAGGAAGGTAACACTGTCATGCCGATAACTTGTACTGATTTGCATGGATTTTGGGACATGATGTACATAGAAGTGAAGGATTGTAATTCGCGGTTTGAAAAATTGAAAAAGGTTCGAGCTAGACATTGGCGAGGAGAGCAATCATCTTATACAAACTCCGCTACAAAAGAGACAAATGCTAAAAAGCGAGCTGTATCGCGAAGTTCATTACAAGCATCGATTTCATCCGATAAGAAAAAAAAGATGGTAAAAATGCGAGATAACGAGAAAGATCCGCATCAGATTTTACTTCGGCCGGTCTCTACCGAAATAAATATAAATAACGAATTTATTACTCCTTTAAATGATAAGGGGACTGCAGAGATTATTGATAAAAGTTGTAATGTAACGCGTCGTAAATGTTGTAAAGATTTGCTTAAAATGTATGCACATCCTATGTATACATCAACTCCATTACTTAATAACGGCGATAAATCAATCAATATGAATGCTTCGCTTGTATCAATGAAAATAAGTCAATTGTGCAACAAATTTACAATGCAAACGGATGATCGCACGTGTATATCGGTTGAACAAACATCTAGAAAAAGCATAATGGAAAAATCGGAA